GCTAGTCTCTCAATGAAAGGTGCTGTTTCGGATACGACTCGGCTGAGTCATATCAGTATTAAACGATACTTTGAACCATGCATCACACCACGATCTTGGGCCCTCTTGAAGGCTCAATTTTTGGAAATTGATATGTTTGAGATATTTTGAGCACTATGGAAGCTGGTTGGCAGCCTTAACGGTGCTGCCGTCTTAGTGAATTATTTGCTGTCAATAAGAATTTTATGAGGTTTCTTCGATAACTATTATGCTAGGCAAGATTAGTTCAGTGCTATTATACTCGTTGCTTGCAGTTCATCTATGTTTATGTGTTTATTATTTTTCTATTTATGCTTGTGAAATGTTTTCATTCTTTTATTATGCTGTGGGCCTGTGGCTGATAGTAGTGCGAATGTGATGATGAATTTAACCATACTAAGTTGTTTGTTTATTTTTGCTTAGGTTTGTTGCGGTGGAAAAGTTGAAAGATCAATTGCTAGAGAACAACAAGAAAACATATTGGGTTCCTGATTTTGTGAAGGTTTGCTATCTTGATCATAAATTCCATCCATTATTGAAGGATGCTTAAATAATTGTTGTGCTTTTCTGTATATTGTTGATATAGGTATTTCTGATCTGAATTCTAAACTGATTTCAATCATTTTAACTCTCCCATCCTTTTCATTGTTTTATTCTTTTCTTATTTTTGGGTTTCTTCTTTTACTCAATTCTTCTTGTTTTTTTCTTTTCTTTTTTTTAATTTTGGTGGGGGAGGGAGGGGGGGGGGGGTTTTTTTTACTTTTGCTTCTGCTGTGTCTCTCCCAGATCCTTCCCTCGGTGTTGGAATGTTCTGATATGAAAAAGGAAAAACAACCTTTACATCCCATGGGGATAGGTAATAGGGAACATAAACGAGATGATGGGGAACAAAAAGGAATTGGTTAAGGGTTAAAGATTAGACCCGAGGGACTAATTTAAGTATTACTTTACAGTGTAAATTACAATGACACCCCCGGTATATTGGTATAATTATAGAGACACCCCCTGTATATTGGTATAATTATAGGGACACCCCTTGTATTATTTGAAATATCACTGCCCTCCCTCTTAGTCCTTCTAACATGCCTATTTTACCCTCCAATAAGACTAGTTGATTTATTCCTAACACAAAACATATGATTATTTCAAATTAGAATAATTTATACCTACCAACTTCCAAACACTTCGTTTTTTTTGTTCTTTTCTATTACTTGTCTCTTAGTAAACAATCACCATATACCTATCACTAGCAGTTCAATACCACCCCTTCACCAACCCAAGACCACCTAATCCACCACCAAACTAGGTCCAAGGGCTTCACAAACTACCATCATCAAACACATCAATCCAAACTTGAAGTAATAATAGACATAATCCAAAAGATTAATTCTAGTTAAAATTGTAACGGTATTGGAAATCTAAACTAACCTAAAATCTCAACCTAATTCTCATTAAATCACATCCATTTCAATTCGACTCTGATTTTATTGTACCTAATCAAAACTATAGTTATTAGAATTCACTAAAACCCTAATGACCCATGATCTGAGTATATCGATCCAAAGCGCAGATTGGAAAATTCAAACTAACCTAAAATCTCAACTCAATTCTTATTAAATGACACCCATTACAATTTGACTTAAATTTTATCGTACCTAATCAAAGCCATAGTTATTAGAATTCACTAAAACCCTAATGACCCATGATCTGAGTATATCGATCTCAAACGTGATGGGTTCGCGATCCAGATCATGAAAATGTACAACCCCAATTTGTAATACTAACTCTAAATCGATTCTTTTTAGAACACGTTGCACAAATATAAAATACATATTTATTAACTACGTGTATATAGATTTATAGTTATATAGGTGCCGTTTGGTTACTCACTGCTTTTTTTTTTTTTTTTTTTCAATTTTTGTTAAAATTAAAAACAATAACACATTTGGTTTATGTTTTTGTTTTTTTTTAAATCAACTTGTTTCGAAAACAAGGGTGAATATTAAAAACATTTGGTTTATGTTTATGTTTTTTTTTTTAATCAACTTGTTTTAAAAACAAGGGTGAATATTAAAAACAAGGAAAATGATGTTTTTGAAAACACAGAAAAACGAAAGCACGTGGGCTTGGGGAGGCTTTTAATGAGGTCTTCGACTTTCATTAGAAGCAAAAAATAGGACATTTTTGTTGCACTATATAAAGCAGCAAAGCTCCTCTCTCTCTCTCTCTCTCTCTCGCGAGCACGCTTGCTTGTGGGTCTACGACTATGGCAAATCCAAATTGGCGTGCAGATCTCCACTTTCTCTGGCGTGCAGATTCAAATCGTTGCTCTCTGGTGAAGTTCTCTCCGGCAAAGCTCTCCACTTTCTCCAACAGCGAAACTCTTCACTTTCTTCTCAATCGGCAATGCTCACTAGGTTTTATGTGTGCAGATCTAGGGATTTTTCTTCCTCTATTTTATTTTGTTGTTGATTTCAACATCTGTGTTTGTGTATGGATCTTTTTGTGTGTATCGGTGGTGGTGGATTGGTATTGGTGGTGGTTTTGGGGTTGGTTGGGTGGTGGGTTTCGGGGCTGTTGCTGTTGGGATTTCAAGGGCTATTGTGGTGGGTTTTGGGTTTGTGTGTATCAGTGGTGGTGGACTGGTATTGGTGGTGGTTTTGGGTGGGTTAGGCGATGGGTTTCGAGGCTGCGGGGGTGGGTTTTGGGTGGGTTGGGTGGTGGAATTTCAGTGGGGTAGATGGTGAGTTTTGATGGTTGGGTGGTGGGCGGCTGGGTGAGGTGGAGTGGATTTCAGTGATTTTGGTGGAGATGCATTTGGTATTAAAAAATTAATTAAAATAATTACATTGAACTATGAAAACACTATTATAATACCATACATATTTTTTATTTTTATTTTTATAATTTTTTAAATATAAATAACTACCAAACATGTTTTATATTTTTAATTTTTATCATAAAAAAAACGAAAATTTGTTTAGTTTTTCTTTAAAAAAAACGTAAAAAAAAATGTTACCAAACGCACCCATAATGTTTTAGATAATAAAACATTAGCAAAAATGTAAGATAAATGGTGATTGACTTAGTGTTTATGGATGTTCTATGATGTATAATATTGTGTAGCAATGAAAATGATCTAAACAAGTATTCCAAAATGAATTACGACTTAAAATACCGTATCAATTAAGCCTACCCACATCATACAGTATACAGAAGGAAGTGTCATATCATGTACCAAAACGACTCACGACACAAGTAACATTGATCAGAGCAATAATTCAACTGAAAATCAAACAAAAAAACCATTTTGAGCTGCATACACAACACTAATGCAAATGAAAATAAAAAAAAAATAAAATCAAACTGTAACCAAAATCCCCATCTAATTCGTATTAAATCAAACTAATTACGATCAAAATCAACCAATTCAATCATCCGTGCCGTAAGATACGAAAAAATATTAAATTAAACAATCACCCATAGAAATCACACAAAAAACCCCGAAATTACTTGTCACCACCATCATGATCATTAACGATTTTTTTTTCATCCGTGATCATTGCCAATTGAAAAACCCTCAATTTTTAATGAATAAATGTTCTACACAAATTACCCAAATTTTTTATCGAAAAATCTCACCGGATTTGTCCATGGATTGCCTTGATTCTATTTTAAATCAATTCAATGATGACTGCGATTGAGGTGATATCTCTTTGTCGCGTTGGGAGTTTTGGGTTTGATCAGTTGGAGTTTATTGTCGATCAATGGATGTTTCCTTGATGCACTTGTTGCTCTAGTTGTTTGGTTGTTGAGAGAGAGATAGAGAATAAGTAGCCAGAGTAAGTGGGTATTGGCGCTGTGAGGACGTGGTAGCTGGTGGGGGTGGTGGTGATGCAAGGTGGCTAGTGGCGGTGTTTGGTTTGAGGAGAGGGATAATAGACTGTGGAGTCATTGTGTGTGTATTATGTGTGAAGGATGAATACATAAATATACTTAATAGTTAATGGTATATACTTAAAATTGTGAGTCTCCGATTAGTGTAATTTCAGATAACTGACAAGGTGTTCAAGAAATTATACTAATCTACAAGGGGTGTCATTGTAATTAACCTTACGTAGTTACTTTATAACATAGGACTTATTGAGTTTGTTTTCTTAACTTAGAAATTTGAATGTGTTATTTTCTTATTTATTGATTTAATTATATTTTGTTTCCAATAGTTGGGTTGGGCCGCTTGGGAGAACCCTAATAAATACGAGGTTTATGGTAGTCAAGGCTAATTTTTGGCATTGGTTATTGCCTAAGAATTGTGAATTTCACTCTTTGTCATGCATCAATTGATATCAAAATCCAACTTCAATTCATAAGCTGGTGCTTCTTGTTGCCACCAGTAAATCTCAGTCTACTGCTGGAAAAGTTTTGCTATATTCGTAGTTTGTCATCATTACTTTGTTAACTTTTTAATCAGCTTGTCTTCATTGTTTTTTGCATCAAGTATTTGCATCCATTGCACTGCATTGAAGTCAACCGTTCTCGCTTTCCAGCCACTACTTTCTTGGACCAAAAATTTGAAGACTATATTGTTGTTGACCTAGATTGATCAGAAAAAAGAAAATTGTTAGTTGTAAATGACATGAATTTTGGGCTCGAGCCAGAATGATGTTTTTTTTAGGAACTTTGAATATCTGTTATGTAACTCCGTGCAGGTTTCATTTATGATTTTTTATCCATACATCAAGTAGGTTACTTCCCCTCTATAGATTAAATCAACAAATAATTTCATGGTAAATATAAGTTCTCTAAACTTGAATCTTTATTTATGACATTTCGACTGCTATATTCTGGACAAAATTTTTTGTTTGTTATTTTTCCTTTGTAGATTCTGGGAAATACAAAAAAATCTTTATATTAATTTTAGATTAGTGATTGATTTTTTAACCCTTGTCATGCATTAGTCTTTAATCCTTTGCATCTATGACAGGAAAAACGCTTTCACAATTGGCTAGAAAATGCAAGAGACTGGGCTATCAGTCGAAGTAGATTCTGGGGTACTCCTCTTCCTGTATGGATTAGTGAGGATAGAGAGGAGACAGTTGTTATAGATTCCATCGAAAAACTTGAAAAGCTTTCTGGTGCTAAGGTTTGTCTTTTACTGATGGATTTATTACGGTGCTTTATGAAGTAATATATACAAGCAATTACTGTTGATTGATTTTTTCCCATCTTTCCCCATTCTTTTAGATTCTCCTTCATGAATTTGTTGAAATATAGTTTTTTGAAATGAAAAAAGTTTTCATCGTTCTATATGAAAAGGTATTGTGGTCAGCTTTTTTACTTCGTGTTTCATTTGTTTACTTGATAATGGTGAAAAGCCTGGATTAATACTATGATATTAGGCATGGACACGTCAATATGTCATGTCCTAAAAATGTTGGAGATGCACAGAGCTACGACGTGCTGCTCAAACATGTGATTTACATACAAATGCATAGTTCATAAATGTGCACATGTATATAATCATACAATATACATGACCATATTTATTCATCATAGATATTGCTTAAGGAGTGCCAGATATTTGTCCAAAGAGTGTCAAACAAATGTTGAGAAATTGATATCCATGCTGAACATGACACCTTCTAAGATGTGCATGTGCTTCTTAAATGCCACTGATATTCTCATTTCGTTTTTATTGTTCTTGCAAGGTATTGCAAATAGTAATTATTTTTCTGACCTACCCTTTTCAAAATTTGCTCAGCCCCAACAGCCACTTGACAGTCACGAACAAAAAAACATGGAAAATAGATGCATCATTCATCCACTACTGAACTGAGCCAAAAATAAGTAATTTATGGGAACATATTTCTGGTTTTTCCAAGGAGAAAAGATGAAGTCGTCTTGGGCATTTTCTAGGAATATATTTTGAGACAGTATTTATTTTATTTAATCTATATGAGACAGAATCATACAAGTTTAATAATTACTTCCTCCCTTTTACCTTTACTTTCTTTTTTTTTTTTTTGGGGGGGGGAGGGGGAACTGCTTTCTTCAATTACAGCTGTGCAGGTGGAGTGCATTTTAAGATCTTATTTCGTTTCTAGTTTCCATTATTTTATAGAAGTGGTTTCCTGTTTTACGTTTGAAATTCGTGAATATTTCCAATTTATCACTAACTGCTCTCTCTATCTCTCNCCTTTTACTTTTTTTTTTTTTTTTTTTTTTTTGGGGGGGGGAGGGGGAACTGCTTTCTTCAATTACAGCTGTGCAGGTGGAGTGCATTTTAAGATCTTATTTCGTTTCTAGTTTCCATTATTTTATAGAAGTGGTTTCCTGTTTTACGTTTGAAATTCGTGAATATTTCCAATTTATCACTAACTGCTCTCTCTATCTCTCAATAATAGGTCACTGACTTGCATCGTCACAAGATTGATCATATCACAATTCAATCAAGTCGTGGCCCTGAATTTGGTGCCCTTCGACGAGTAGAGGATGTAAGACCATATTTTTTCTTTCACCCTTTGTTTTCTGGTTTTGGATTTACAAGTCATGCTCTTTGGTGGTCTGTCTACTTGTTTAGTTGCAAAGCTAAGATTTCGGAGCCATTCTCTGATTCCTGCTACTGCTATTGGTGCCTCTAGGTTGATTTTTGAGGTTGCAAGATTTGACCGAGAAGTTAATTATCTTTTGCTTTTATATGCTCCAGTTTTTGGGTGTAAATAATAGTGTGTACGATTTCAAGCTTAGCCACCAAAGTCAAATAATTTTGAAGTTGATTCAATGGGACGTCTAAAGTATCTTCCAAAATTGAAATTTACAGATATCATCTTAACTTGAGTCTCTTAACACTTTCTAATGCTTTGTAAATTCTTCAATGTAGTTTTTGTCGGACTCAAGATGATGTTCTGGTTAACTGTAAACTATCATGTGCACCAGTGCGACTGACTATTCATATACCCCCATGGCTACCCCCATTTAAGATTTCTTGCTACATAAGCTACTTTGGGTGAGCTTTTTTTTTTTTTTTTTTTTTTTTTCCCTGTTGTAACAAATTTATGTCACTGGTAACCCAAGGAAAGTGGTTTGTATTAGGCCTGAACTTAACAGAACGCATAGATAGTTGACACGATTTATGGTGGATCTTCGTTCTTAAAGCTTATTGTATGCAAAGTCTTTTATCAGTTTATTGTAGATGTGAAGTCTTCTATCCCCAATTGTGGGAATGCAACTGATTCACAGAGCCCCCACTTATTTATGATTTGAGGTATATAAGTTATTCGTGACATGGGGCTTTCCTTAATGTGTGTCCAAAATTTAGCTAGTTGACCTCTTTAATATTTGGCCAAACTTTAGCATTTGTCACCACCGAGTGGGGTGGCTCAGTGGTGTGGTTCAGTGGGGTATCGGCCGAACTTCTCACCTTGAGGTTAGAGGTTCGAGTCTTGGAGTCCACATTGTGACTCGGTGATTGACCGTTATACTAATTAGCTTAGTGTTATTTAAGGTGTAAAGCGAATCGAAATGAATCGGTTTTCTGAGTGTCTAGGCGAGAAGCGAGGCGAGCGCTTCATCGAAGCAAAACGAACAATATAAAAATAAGCAAATATTTTAATTTGATACATTGATTACTTTTAAATATTCAAGTTTTAACTTTACAAATACAAAATATTTAAATGCAACCAAAATAATAAATATCAACATATTTTAAATAGACAAGATATTAAATATTGAACATTATTGCATTATAAAAATAATCAATTAATATAATTACGTCATCTAGATGTAAAGTTGGTGAATGTGAATTTGACTTCCACCGTGATTGATTAATATCACTACTAAATAGAGTACTCACAAATTGATTAATCAAACAGAGCATATAACAAATTGGTTAACAAGAACATTCACATCAAAATAAAGCATTCAACATCATTTAATCATAATAAGACGGATTGTCATATGATATTGTTACATCAATCAATCAATTTATTCTGTACATATACACATATAAAATCATCTCTATTAAGGTTTGGTTAATGTTAAGGAAGAAGAAGAAAGAGGACGAGGGGGGAGGAGGAGGAGAAAATAAAAAAACTGCAGTCAGGTGTTTGCTCTTCTCATCTGCCTCGCTTATTTCACTTCGTCGCCTAAGTTTGCTTTACTTAACCTCACTTCGCCTTGGATGTTCAAGGCAACCAAGACTCGCTTCACTTCTCGCCTAGACACTGGCTTTTTACAACACTGAGCTAGTTAGGTTTGTTCCTGATATGAGTAACAGGCATGGTCAGGGGCCTCATGATCTCACTAGTGAGGCCTATCAGGGTGGTATCTGGGGGCTCGCCTTTGTCCTCACCCCTTTTTAACCAGTCAAAAAAAAAAAACTTAGCATTTGTCTGCCATATTTGTGAACCCTTGGTAGGTTCTAGTTGGTGCTGTGGATACCGCATTCAAGAGGACTCTCAGTGAAGTTTTATATACTCTGTCGCACTCCTGTTTTGCTTGGAGCTTAGATATTTGTAAGTCCGTAAGCAGCAGAATTTTCTGGTTAAAGATGAGAAACTTGACCGCTATTCAAGAGTTTGGGTAGTTCCAGAGTTTTTATTCTTCTTACTGATTAAACTCCTTTTTAAGAAGGATAATAGAAATGGATGCACAATCACTGTTGAAATATGTTTTAATTCACAAACCTTTAATTTGACAGGCCTGGTGTACTCGACTTTCTTTTTTTAGTTAATTCCTGTATTCCGCTATGTGAAATTAAATTCCATAGACAATTAATATCACTCATTTCGTGCAATATCACATTGCAGACTGGTATGAACCTCATTTCAACCATTCCTTCACTTTCATTCTTGGTTTGGTGATACGATTTTGCTTATCTTTGCAGGTTTTTGATTGCTGGTTTGAGAGTGGTTCCATGCCTTATGCTTATATCCACTATCCATTTGAGAATGTTGAACTCTTCGAGAAAAATTTCCCTGGGCATTTTGTGGCAGAGGGGCTGGATCAAACTCGTGGATGGTAAGTTTCTCGTCTTCTGAGTGTGTCCCTTGTGCTAGTAACTATAGTAAGAAAGCATGTGTAGCAGTTGATTCTTCAGTAGTTCCCTTTTGACATCATCATTTTGGTCGGTGCTTGATGGTTAGCTACACATGCTATTTGTTGTCACACTAATCTCTGTGACATGATTTCATCTTGTCTTTTTCTTTTTCCTGTGCCTAGCATTATCTTGCATTAAACCATATGTTTAAATGGGATTAAATTTAAAACTTCCAGTTTCTTGTGTCATGAACTCTGTGCTCCATTGCCTTGGTCTCCTTCTGGGTTGTAAATATATGACTTGACTTAATCGTGCTAGACAGTGTAAAATTTTGTTGACATACAAAGTGTGGTTGTTAAACATGCTCTAACTTTACAGACTATTAATTTTACTTTAAGATTTTGTTTCTATTTATTATGCAGAGTAATGGTTATTGGTACTGGAGTTATTGGTTTATTGGCTTACACTGCAATAGGTTCAGTCTTCTTTAAGATTAGCAAAATGTGCTAATGGAAATTTATGTTCTGCCTTTACATACTGCAGGTTCTATACTCTCATGGTCCTGTCTACTGCACTTTTTGGGAAACCTGCATTTAGGAATCTCATTTGCAATGGCCTTGTCCTGGCTGAGGATGGGAAAAAGATGAGTAAAAGATTAAAGAACTATCCGTCACCTACAGAAGTCATTAATGATTATGGGGCTGTAAGTGATATTAATGTTTCTTTGATTGTTGGATCAATATGATTTTATTTGAGTCTTCCTGTTTCTTTTCTTGCTCTTTTGTGGAGTTGCTTAAGCTTGAATAATTTTCTTAGTTCTTTGGCTTTGAACAGCAATATGATTATATATTCTTTGTTGTACAGGATGCCTTACGATTATACATGATAAACTCTCCAGTTGTCCGCGCAGAGCCTTTGCGCTTCAAAAAGGATGGAGTATATAGTGTGGTTAGTATTATTTGTAAAATTATTTTTGGTTTGCGTGGGAGAGAGATTGGTTTATTCCCCTCCCCCCCCCCCCC